TTAAGCTTGCAATTTTAGTTTTAAAACTGCGTGTTATACGCCGATAAATACGGTATTTCTGCAGGCAATGTTGCTTTGTAAAACTTCTGTATCTTCATGTATTATAACAATATTATTAAACTTTGAAATGGGTGGAGGTTTTATTATTTTTAACTTTTTAAAAATATATATACATTTATTGGTGGCTATATAAATGATCTAAACTAAATAAATGCATAAAATAAAAAATATAAAGGGTCAGAGTATCATGGAGTCCTGTTAATTTGTTCTGCTTTTACAACTGATGTGTTACAGTTTTTGCTTGTAATATACCGGCTATGTTTTTTATATATTTTCTGTTGGAAATTTCTATGCATGGAGATGTAACATACATCTAATTCTTTTATATGGAAAAATAAATAGACTAGATTTTCTCTTTCTAATATATGCTTCCTAATTCATAATTCATATTTACTATTTTAAATAATGGGCAAATTGCAGCAGCGATGTGCAAAGTTATATTTATTTCCATTATTTATAATTCTGCAATACAAATATAATTAAATGCTAATTCTTTTGTCTCCATCTAGGTATTAAGTTTATCTTGTGAAGCTTGTAAAAAAGTTACCCTAAATGTGCCTCCAAAACTAAATCCAGATACACTAATTGGCCAAGGTGAGAAAATGGCAAGTTATAAGTTATAATAATTAGAATCTAATATCTGTGGTTATTTTTGCCCCCCCTCCTTATAACAAGAATTTTTCTTCAAGTATTGTATTCAAAAGAAAAATTTTCTGATTAAAGGGTGAGCCAGGAAAACACAGCAAGGTTTTAGGATCCAAATTTAAAAATACATATAATGAACAGACCAAATTTCAGCTTGGGAGAAAGTGTACTAAAATTACAATTTTTACCTGAAATAAATAGAATTAACTATTTACTTCCTTCTACCTTGGCATATATTTTGAATTCCAATGATCATTTTCTTTTATTTATTTTCTGCAATTCATTTGCTGCATTCAGCATTTCTGAGCAATGTTTAACCAGGTGATATTCATTTAAGATTTATTGTTTAGAGATAATTTAAGCCAAGGTAAATAGATAAAATAGATATTTAAAGATGGATTCCGTTTTTTTTTTGTATGTCTGTCTATTTATCTGTGGTCAAATGTATTATGTATCTGATATGATTTCCAATCTCATCTTCCTACCCTTTTCAAGTTCTGGGTGCCAATATATTTAAAAAATAACAGGCAGAGTTATACAGATTGTTTAGAGGATCGAGCCCCCTCAGGGACTACCAGGGGACTCTTATTCCCACCCTGGGTTCTTTCCCCATTTGGGTGGACTATGGGGATTTTCACGGCCGTTTGCCTATTCTTATTGTTAAAAACTCCCTACATGCCTTATTGGGGCTTGATTGGTTTCCTGCCTTGGGGTTGTCTATCGGGGGTGTGTGCATAGGGTGGTTCCCTCCTCCCTGGAAGATGTCCTCACAGAATTCTCTGACATCTTCGATGGCCAGCTGGGTTCTTACAAGGGCACTCCCATCTCCCTTAAGCTCAACCCCCAGGTTGCTCCAATTCGGCTGAAGGCTCGCAGGGTGCCTTTTGCCTTGAGGGCCAAGGTTGACGCTGAAC